ATGATAAAAGAAAACAAAGAAGATGTGAATAAAATATCATTAAAGACAGTCAATGGTGTGACGCAAACAAATGGACTAATAACCATAAAAATTAAAATATTTGAAACAGAAAAGGAAGTAAATGTATTTATAGTGAAAAATAATGATTTTAAAGATTTCATAATTGGACTGGATATGATAGAACTATATAGATTAATTCAAGATAAATGAAATAAAAACACAGAAAAAAAAAATAAGTCCGATGGAAGTGAAAGTGAATTTTAATGAGCATGTCCAAGAAAAAAATTTAAAATGAAATTAGATCACTTACATGAGAAAGATAAATATAAAATAGAAAAATTAATACATAAGTATAAAATCATTTTTGCAAAAGATAAATATGATATAGGAACAGTAAAAGACTATGAAGCAAGGATAGATCTATGAGTGGAAATATATTGTAGTAAACAGCCATACAGATGTACGATCAACGACAAAATAGAAATAGAACAGCAAGTAGAAAAATTACTAGAGAAAAACTTAATCAAAGAATCACACAGTCCTTTTGCGGCACCAGTGACCCTGGCCTTTAAGAAAGATGAAGGAAGAAAATCTCAATTGTGTATCAATTTAAGAGATTTAAACAAGATAATTATACCACAAGCACAATCTTTTCAACTCATTGATGATATAGTAGTGAAAACCAGAAACTGTAAATACTTTACAACGTTAGATATTAATTCTGCATTTTGGTCGATTCCACTAAGGATACAGGATAAAAATAAAACTGGTTTCATAACACAAGAGGGACACTATCAATGGACTTGCTTACTATTTGGTCTCAAAACTGCACCAGCAATATTTCAGAGAATCTTATCTAGTATACTACGAAAACATAATCTCCAAGATTGTGCAGAAAGTTATATAGACGACACATTAATATTTTCAAAAACTTTTGAAAACCATATATGACATATAGAACAAAATTTAAACGCAATTGTAAAAGAAGGATTTAGATTAAAATTTAAAAAATGTACATTTGCTGCGAAGTCAGTAAAATACCTTGGGCACATCATCGAGAATAACACATTAAAACCTATTTCAGATAACTTGATTCCAATGCAGAATTTTCCAACGCCAAAAACTCAAAAAAATATTAGACAATTCTTAGGAAAAATTAGTTTTTACCATGAATATATACCAGAAATTGCAATAATACAAAATCCATTACACAGATTGTTAAGAAAAAATGTTGAATTTAATTGGTCTGAAGAATGTGAAAAATCCTTTATAAAGATAAAAAAGTTATCATGCTCCGAACCAGTGCTAGAGATATTTGATAAAGATTTGCCTATCAAAATATATACAGATGCTTCACTAGAAGGTATAAGTGCAATATAAAAACAAGTTTAACAAAATGGAAAAAAAAACCAGTGGCTTATTATTCAAAAAAATTGAAAGAAACACAAAAACAAAAAAAAGCTATATATTTAGAATGTCTAGCAATTAAAGAGGCAATAAATTATTGTGAGCACTGGTTGATTAGAAGATATTTTAAAGTATATTCAGACCACAAACATTTGGAACATCTTAATATGAAAGTAAGAACAGACGCAGAACTAGGTGAGTTGACATACTACCTATCGCAATTCGATTTCAAAATAAAATATTTACCAGGAAAAGATAACCTTGAAGCGGACTGTCTTAGTCCAAATTTTCAGTATGAGAACCAAAAAATACACAAGATATGCTAAAAATAGTAAATTTGATAAAGATAGATGAAATAAAAAAAGATAAAAAAAAAACAATATGTTACAAAAACTAAAAAAAAAAGAATAGCCATAATATCGATTACAACAGAAGATGGAAAAATGTATGTGTTGACAGAGAATGATATGTATGTTGGTGCACATAAAGAGCTGCAAAAGGTAAGCACATATAGTAAAGTGAAAGCAAATTTGAAGAGAAGAAACGACAAAGTCAGTGCATGGTTTAAACTAACAGATGATGTTAAAAATATATATATAGATAAAGCAGGAAATTTACAATTTGGTGATAGAATTTTGCAAGAGATTGACAATGCGAAAATCAGTGACATAAATGATTTAAGTTTAACCAAAATATTAACAAAATTAATAGAAGTTTCTAAGAAAAAAGGAGGAGAGAAGGAAATAAATTTCAAAGATATTGCAGATAAATTGATTGTAGACAAATTTAACAGCAAAACATTTAATGCGCATCAACGGTTGCTTACATATGAAAAAGAATGTATAAAATTGCAGGTAGATAAAGAAGAAAATAAGATTGATATGTAAAGATTTTTTTTGGATGACACAAGTCAAAACTGGCATAATTCAATGATGTTGAAAGAAAGAGAAAGTCAATGGGATACATGGAAAGAAAAGTTCATAAATACTTTGGGAAATAGAGGATGGAATAATAGAGCATATGCTCATTATTATGAATACAAAGAAGGCTCATTATTAGATTATGCAATAAAAAAAGGAAAATTATTATTAGAAATAAACGAAGATATGGACATAGACACATTTATGGACAGAATTGGATTTGGTCTACCAAAAAATATTAGGGAAGAAATAGATAGAGATAATTTAAAAAACATAACAGATTTATTTAATGAGTTGAAAAAACATGAATGAAAAATGAATAAGAAGAGTAATTTCAAGACAAAAGAAAGTAAACAAGATTGGAAGTACAAGACTGAAGAAAAGAAACCTTGCAAGATATGTGAAAATCTAAATAAAAGTGCAAGATACCACCCAGAAAATGAATGTTGGTTTAAAACAAAATCAAGTGGAGCTAAAGAAAAACCAAAAATAATAGGTAATAATGCAGTCATAAAAGTAAATTTACAAGATGAATCAAAAAACTAGTTATCACACCATTGATAAGAGTAAAAATGTTATTAGAAAATAGACTGATTATAAATAGAATTTATGATCCAGGATCACAAATATCAATAATAAATTCAAAATTTATTATGATAAAAGAAAACAAAGAAGATGTGAATAAAATATCATTAAAGACAGTCAATGGTGTGACGCAAACAAATGGACTAATAACAATAAAAATTAAAATATTTGAAACAGAAAAGGAAGTAGATGTATTTGCAGTGAAAAATAATGATTTTGAAGATTTTATAATTGGACTCGATATGATAAAAC